ATTGCACATTCACACAAATACCATAACTTTTATACGACTGATATTATTACATATATACTACCATCACTGATTTGATCACTGGTATATCGAAAAGGCCTATGGAGCAATCATTGACATCACTTTTAATTAAATTACTGACTCGTTTTTAGATCGATAAGGGATTTGCCATACATAACGCTGCGTCCATTGATCCAACTTAATTTATTTTCGGACAATTCCCCGGACACAAACAGCCGGCTGTTCTACAACTGATCTTTAGACAATCGTGAGTACACATTTCCTTCGAATTTTTTTTTTAAAAGGTTCGATGTAGTGGAGGTAATCCATGTAATTTTAAAAATAATTGTTTTTTTTTGCGGAGTTAACTCCCATTAGCTGATTTAAAAAAAAATATACTCTTAGCACGAGTGGGGTTCGAACCCACGCGGAAATAATTCCATTGGATCTTAAGTCCAACGCCTTAACCACTCGGCCATCGTGCTATACTCCCAGGAATTGTTATTATTAAAAAAATTAAATACTACATGTGTACATCAAGCCTTATCATATGTACAGTAATATAATAGTTTTTGTATTTCTCTATTATTTACTTCGACAGTAGCCTCTATAGTGACTGATTACATCTGAATTTAAATAGGTTAAACAGTAGAAGAAATAATCACAATACAAAGTCTTATATTATTCTACACCCCCCCCCCTTAAAATACAACGAAAATAAACCACTGTTGTCTAACTGTTTATTGATCCCACTAGATTATTTGTATGTTAAAAAAAACAACCTTAGTTAAATTTACAGAGTACACCTGCAAGTTCTTTCCTTTTATCAGAGTCCCCGTACAAAGAAAAGACTTGGTGGGTAAACTAAGTCACAGCTACGTAAACAATGTGTACACACAAGCTAAGCTGAAACTCCAAACATCAGAAGTCTTCAAAGATATGGATGTCAATGTGTGTATGTGCGCTCGTGCATATATATATATGTACATACACACAAACGCACAAGCACCTCGACAAGCGCATATACATGCATATTCACATGCACATTCCGACACACATCGACATCGACATCGACATCGACATCGACATCGACATCGACATCGACATCGACATCCACATCCACATCCACATCCACATCCACATCCACATCCACATCCACATCCACATCCACATCCACATTCACATTCACATCCACATCCACATCCACATCCACATCCACATCCACATCCACATCCACATCCACATCCACATCCACATCCACATCCACATTAACATCCACATTAACATCCACATTAACATCCACATTAACATCCACATTAACATCCACATTAACATCCACATCCACATCCACATCCACATCCAAATCCACATCCACATCCACATCCACATCCACATCCACATCCACATCAACATCCACATTAACATCCACATTAACATCCACATTAACATCCACATTAACATCCACATCCACATCCAAATCCACATCCACATCCACATCCACATCCACATCCACATCCACATCCACATCCACATCCACATCCACATCCACATCCACATCCACATCCCTATCCACATCCCCATCCACATCCACATCCACATCCAAATCCACATTCACATTCACATCCACATCCACATCCCCATCCACATCCCCATACACATCCACATCCACATCCACATCCACATCCACATCCACATCCACATCCACATCCACATCCACATCCACATCCCCATCCACATCCCCATCCCCATCCACATCCACATCCACTTCCAAATCCACATTCACATCCACATCCACATCCACATCCACATCCACATCCACATCCACATCCACATCCACATTAACATCCACATTCCCATCCACATTAACATCCACATTAACATCCACATCCACATCCACATCCAAATCCACATTCACATCCACATCCCCATCCACATCCCCATCCACATCCACATCCACATCCACATCCACATCCACATCCACATCCACATCCCCATCCCCATCCCCATCCCCATCCACATCCCCATCCACATCCACAGCCACATCCACATCCACATCCACATCCACATTCCCATCCACATCCACATCCACATCCACATCCACATCCACATCCACATCCACATCCACATCCACATCCACATCCACATCCACATTCTACTTAAATAGTCGCAACAGCCAGATTCCAAGTGTGAACCCTGCCTAATCTTGTTGGCTGTCTGCACCAGTGACATCGTCATCTTCTCGCTGACTAGCTTTCTAGGAACACAGTTCTCGATCAGTTGACCCCCCCCCCACCCACCCTATCTCCTATACAACAAGTACACACTAGTTCAGTGGTTCGTAACTTTTGGGACATACCGAACCCCACCAGTTGCAAATGTGTATTCACCGAACCCTTCTTAATAGTTTTATCGTCCGAAGAGACAAAATCGAATCGCGAATTTAATTCGGTTGTGCGTCTTGACCTCCACCGAACCTCTATGAATTACTTGTTAAACCCCTGGGGTTCGATTGAGCCCAGTTTAAAAACCACTGGACTTGTATATCGGCGTTTGTTTAGAAAATGTGTGGACCTTGTGTTTGTGAAATCAGTTTTCAAAAATTCACCGTTGAGGTTAGAAAACATATAACATCAAAGAAGATAGGGGGGTATTATTATGTTATGTTATTTTGTTATGGGGTGGTATTGCACGCTGTTACATAATCTTATCTTTAAAACTTTTTAGCAACATTTGCAATTTTTATTTTTCGGTTCGCAGAATGGGTTGCTACATTTGGCTAATTCTTTTTATTTTATTTTAATACATGATAGACTGAACACAACTGTTGTTTTTTTTAGCTTTAACAAAAGTGTTCATCTCCAGCAGTGTACTAAATTGTGTCGAGATATGTGACGGCTGGGGCGGAAACGCAGGGGCGTGGGGAAGGAGGATGGAAGATCCTAGAATTGTAAAATACACGTGGGATGGGGGATTTCTATAAATCTATATGGCTTATTGGATGGGTTACACATATCTTACTTATGTTATAATATATGTGTACGAATTTGGTTAGCTAAAAAGCGTAAATAGTAAGATTTTAAAAGCAGAAATAAAAAAATTGATAAAAATTGTACTTAAATAGTTTAAGCGAGACTCTCTAGAAATATTTTCAAAACACACACACACAAAGACAATGATACATATGCACATATACATGCACAGACATACACATACATACATAAATATGCACATGTATGCACATACATGTACTTATATGCACTCACACATACACTTGCACACACACACTCACAATTCCACTCACACGCACACGCATTGGTATACATACATGTAACGTTAATTGCTGTCATTTAATTAACTAACTAAAATAAGATTGCAAGAAAAATACATGCCTTATACACGGAGACATAAATAAATGTGTATGAATGATCAAGGTATGTAGTAAGGAAGTAAATTCTTGAAATGTTTTAATAATGTATAGGATTATCCCTTGTTAATGCTTGCGAAAGATACCTGATTATATCATTGAACGTTATTATTGAAATCCATTTCACTTAAAACTATTTTTCTAAACATTTCGTGATGAAACCTGCAAAATATTTAGTCAATATGCAGTGTTTCTTCAAGACTTTTTTCTCCGGGGGGGGGGGGGGGGGCACTTGAAATCTTAGGGGGGGCGGTAAACTTTCTTCCGGGGGGCGGAAGTATATATTTTCTATATAAATTATATAAATTTCATTTCGTTCGGGGGGGGGGGGGCGGTAAAAATTTTTCGGGGGGGCTTAGCCCCCCCCGAAGAGATGCCTGGAAGAAACTCTGTCAATATGTTTAGCTCTACACTCGTGATCAGCCTACGTTCAAGGATGTTGATTTAAATATATTTTAATTTTATCTAGCGCATTGACAGGGTTTGTTACCTCAAGGATATATTTTATGAGGCATGGAAACTTAAAGTGCTTTACATGAGAAAAGAGGAAAATTCTTGGTACTGCAGAGGAATTTTAACAAAGTGAAACATTTGAAACAAAGATTGCGCAACCCTCCAACCATATATATATATATATATATATATATATATATATATATATATATATATATATATATATATATATATATATATATATATATATATATATATATATATATATATGTGTGTGTGTGTGTGTGTTTTCGTGTTTGTGTATGCCTGGCTTAAGGACGTCCCTCTTTTCTTGCAAAAATCTTTCAGGAGAAAAAGCATTTATCTTATAAATAAACAAGCACAATTGTTATTGTGTGCAATTGCTCCATATTTATTACATCTAAATCTACTCAAATAAAGATGATTTGCCTAAATATTTTAAGTTAGTATTCTAGTGTCGTAGATCTGTTTACTTTCTCTCTAAACTTTTGCATTCAAACATTTTCAATGTGTTTGTTATTATGCTTATGTTGTCACTGACTACTGCCTCTAAATTTCCTCAATCTCGTCTAGATTTCACACTTACTTACTGCGTATTTCATCACTTGATTTACACATCTTTTGTCTTTATGCATTAAAATAAAAGGAACAATAACTTTTGGGAATTAGAACTTGTATAGACATATACAGTTCTCTGATACTTTAAAGCAAATTTTTTTTATCCCAACCGAAGTATTTACTTAACTTTAAGGATCACTGCGGAGCCAAAAATACATTTTTCCCAGAAATGATTTATGAAAGACTATTCAAGTTATAGATTTTTAAAAATGCTGTCATCGTATAGGTAATTTGTATTGCAACATACCTATATTTTGAGGGTGGAGGTTTACGAAAATTTAAGTGAACATTCCCAGGCAAAGATTGCACAATACCACCCCCTCAGAGTCACCACACAGGCATTTAAACAGAAACACCGAATCATGTACACACACACACACTCACACACACAAACATACACACACACATACACACACATACACGGTTTTCACTGATATTTAAAGTCGTGCTGAAGCTTCATTGAGCCATTCCAGTTTTACATCGCCCATTTGCCAACTCAGACAAAGTGAGTGTTTAATTATATGCTTTGTTTCATTATAATTTATAGCAATAATATAATTTGATTGTTAAGAATATTTTATTCTGGGAGTTCGTACAGCTCTTATTAAAAATGAAGATAAATCGATGTTTGAGTTTTTTATTTGCTGTGGGTATGGATGATAGTATCATGATTAGGATAAGGCTCATTAGGAGAGTCATAATTAAGATAAGGTTTAGGGTCAAAGGTCGGCGTTGGACTCGGATACCGATGTTATTTTCTAGACCGCCTTTGTAACAAGTGGGTCTACCGATCAACGAACCCTGATGGTGTCTTCTGTCTTACGTCTCAGTTTGATATGTTTACGGGGTGGTCGAGTCGGTAAAGCTCATGGTTGCTAAACCGAAAAGTCTCGAGTTCGAACCCTCGGGCAGATGAGGCTCGTCTGCTGGGGACAGCCACTCTTCTAGGAGAGACAACTCCAAAATCAAACAACTGCTGCCTTGTAGTTTGTTCTTGGTTGGACAAAGGCTATGGAAGCAAATCCAAAAAGAAAAGTAGGCTGAAATCGGAGTCAATAGCCTCAATGGCGCATAACCAGGTGACACGTATCCTTAATTGTGATGGAGGCGTGGTCGAGTCGGCAAAAGCTCATAGTTGATAAATTCGAAAAAAAAGTCTCGAGTTCAAACCCTCTGGCAGATAAGGCTCGATCACTTCCAACACTAAAAATTAAGAACGAAGAAGAACAAGAAGATATCTTTACGGCTTGTGGTAACTGACTTGTCCACATGACGCACGCACGCACTCATGTGGAGCGAGAGGTCAAACTCAGACTTGACGACAGGAAAGGTTCATCTGCTTTCGTCGTCAGCACTAATCCCAGCGACGTTGACATTTGTTAATTCGAGACTGGAATCTTGCAAGGTTTGGTGAGCTCTGGGACTTCCAGCGGAGGGGTAGGGGCTGGAGGGTGGGGGGGGTAGTAGAGAACACCCATTTACTTTGAACTTGGACCCAAAGGCATAGCGACCCATTCCGGAGCCCGGGGCGAAATATCAAACTATCAAAATAGAACATGGTGTTATTTTTGCTATAGCGGGTTGCCGGAGAACGTAGGTAATCAGCTAATGGAGGTAGATGGGCAGTTCTCTAAGGTACCGCTACGTGGTACTTTATCGCGATTTACGGGAGACTATTTTTTTTAACAGACAGCTCACCACAAACAGAAAAATAAAGATTATTTAATGCAAACTATAGCTCTTGATACACACTTTTATTTAATGTTATTTCTATCAATAATTTATTTCACAGATGGAAACACTTCACTTCTTTTTGTTTTTCATTGCTTTCACGTTATGCACTGCAGATCATTACGAGTAGGTCTAACTTTTAATATAATTTTAGTACTTGCCAGGCATTCAAGCAAATTTTTTTTCAATGTATTTCATTATATTAAAAAAAATTAGTCTCAAATTTGGAAAACGAATTAATATCTGAAAAATGCGCATTAGAAATAGCATGTAGAATCTTGGGCTATGTGAATTTGTACAAGCGGAGTTGAACCTTGGCGCGATTGAATGCTGACTGCTAACTCGAAAGTCTCGAGTTCGATCCTTGAGTCCACCCAGCTCTGATGGGTGCCTGACTCAGGTTAGGGAAAGTAATTCGGCTGGGCATAGTGCTGACTAATATCTCCAACACGCCGAGGTCACAGAAAAAGGTGAACTCTACTTCACCTGCATTGCACCACGGACTGTAAGGGTATTTTTTATAAAATTGTGCACACAAAATTCTCGCCTAGGAAATATTAGACTGCATACTTTTTTTCGCCCATTTTAATGGTTTATAAATTTTTCAAAAATTGTATACACAATTTTTCACAACCTTTAGTTTAACTACTGTTTTAAAATATTACACAGCCATCACTTCCCGACATAAAAAAAAGCCAGCTTAATAACTATTAGAAATTTTTAATTATATTAGTTGACTTTGTTGCCACCAACAGTTCAGTCTTTTGTGTACTTTTATCCAAAGTCTACCTGAGGGGTCGGAGGCCGTGATGACTTCAAAATACCCAGGTTATTTCAAAACCGCAAGAGAAATCAAAGCATTGAAAGCTGAATATAAAAAGGTATGATGTGAATACTGTTAGATATTGTTAATTTTCTTTTTTCTTTTTAAGCAGTTAAGTAGATTTTTAAAAAAATACGTTGCTACGTGCAGTGGCGTCGCTAGGTCGGGTGTCACCCGGTGCGGCGCTTCGTAGTACATATATGTGTGTGCATGTGTGTGTCGGCCTACATAAGCCCGTAATTTAAATATACGCCACATAAGCGTACATGTATGTGTATAAGCTTTAATCACTGCAGAATTAATAGTAACGATAGTTATCTATAGTGTGTTAATGATAGTGTTGGGTGTAGCATTGTTTTCTCTAAAGTTAGCAGGTTCGCGTCTTGGTGTCACCCACAACCCCCTTGTAAGAATTGTCGATTTGCGTTTAAAAGACTATTTAACTTTAATTATTAATGGAGCTGGCAAAAAAGCATTTTTCTTCGGTACATTTTGCAATTTTTTGCCTTGGTGTCACCCACTAAATGGTATCACCCGGAGCGTCACGCACCCCCCGTCCCGCCATCTCTACGCCCCTGGTTAAGTGTTTTGTTTAGCAATGAAAAGTTTTTGTTGTAAATGAAATCAAATGCTATTACTTTGTCTTTAAACAAAGCATATTTTGAAATATAATTATATATATAAATAAACCGGGAGTGATCTCCCCTAAACTTTCTCGAATATTCTTATATAAAATAACAGGGGATGGGAACTCGGGCTATAGACATGATTTTTAATCCATTTTAAATACTTAAAGTTTTAAAAATAGAATAAAATCTCGTAGACAAATTAATTGCACACCAAGTGAACGCCAAATAAAAAAGCGCATAATGGTGCGCAATATTATTAGTACTTTTAAAATTTACATTAGTTTTTTGAGAAATCGGAAGTAGCGTAAAGTACTACTTCCAGTCAACGGAAATTACTCAAAATTTAACAGAAGGTAGAGAATTAGATCTTATACTTACGTGTGAAATTTCATTTATCTATCTGAAATAGTAGTCAAGTTATAGGCTTTTGAAAAATTCAAAGTAGGAAAAGTACCACTTCCGGTTATCGGAAATCGCTCAAAAGTTGATACGGATCTACGATTTTGATAAAATACTTATATATGAAATTTCATCAACCTAGCTGTAACGGTACTCATGTTATCGTGTTTACACACGGACACACAGACACACACACACACACACAGACATACGGACAAGATTGCAAAATTATGTTTTTCCGTATCAGTGAGGTGTGAAACGTCGAGATCTGTAAAAATCTCGATTTTTTTTTTTGCACGATTACAATACTTTCTCTATACTTCGTATATACGAGAAAGTAAAAATAGAAAGAACTACGTTTGTTTAGCCGTAAAACTAGCGTTACTTATTTAATTAATTAAAAAATAAAATGTGTGTACTCTTTAAGGGAATCTAACAATGGCGTTGCTAACATTTAAACATTATCAGTAAACATGTACCTTTTGTTGGCGATTATTTTCCATGAAGCTACTAAAATAAATAGATGCATTGCTACTAATTTAAAAAATAAACTAGAAAAACAACAACGAAAATCTTCAGTTTAAAGGTATAAAAATTTCTTAAAACTACAGGCGCAATCCATGAAAGGACAGGAACAAGTGGGCTCGCAAGTGTGTTATCATGGCTGTTGTACAAGGTAAGCTAAATGAGAATGTAATTTAAAAAAAAAAACGTGCGTAAAAAACACTTTCACTTGGTAGCAAAATTGATACAATATGAAACAGAATATACTTATAAAACCAAGAGGGCTTGGTCGGACGAATGAGAGTATGACTGTAAACCCGAAAGTCTCAAGTTTGTACCCGCGGCTCGAGTCCGTAGGATGCCCTTGAGTCCATCCAGCTATAACGAGTACCTTACTTCCGTTCGGGAAAATGATTGAGCATAGAACTGGCCATACTTTTTCTTTATATGCCTGAGTCACAGAAACAGGTGAACTCTGCATCGATTGCCCAATTGACCTCCAGGTTCGAAAGGGCGATTTTTACCTTTGCTTATAAATAGGAGGTAAAGTGAGCAGTCGAGGTTACTTGAACTCGTGTGTGAACTGTGTGACTACTGTAGAATTACCTGAGTCACATCACGGCAGTCATTTGTGGGTTATGTGTAAGCAGGGCACATGTGACAATTTAACAAGAGCAAAATTAGTAAGCGCTGTTTACTTCATAATATTGCTGTCAGATAACAGTTACCAGTGGCGTAGCGAGGTCGGGTGTCACCCGGTGCGGCACTTAATGGTGTCACCCCCCAGAGGCGTAGCGACCCTTCCCGGGGACAAACTTTCAAGTTTTTGATTTGCACCCCCCCTAAAACTTTCGATTTGCACCCCCCCCCCAAACTTTCGATTTGCACCCCCCTCAAACTTTCGATTTGCACCCCCCTCAAGTTTTTCTCTATATATATATTGCTATTTTTTGCCTTGGTGTCACCCCCCTAAATGGTGTCACCCGGTGCGGTCCGCACCCCCGCCCCCCCCCCCTCGCTACGCCCCTGACAGTTACTACTATATTTGGGGAGAGGGGGTTGCAACCCTCTTCACCAACCTTATCCATTAGTTGACGTAATCTTATTTTCACCAATTTAAATATTGTTTTTGTTTGTATATCGATTTCAGCACCTTTAAAAAGCTTAGTTCATTCTTTTTTTCATTACAGTGAATACGACTACGTTATTTTCGACACGCTAAAAGACATCCGGAATAACATTGTTACTTTGGTCAAGTTCTCAGAGAGGGCTCAATATTTCTATACAGAAACATGCACGTGAGTTTACACAACCAAACGCTCTTTAGTTATTATACCAGTGCTCGACAATAGGATATTATGTCGTGGTATTTGGTGATAGCTATGTTTTCATGTTAATGTTCTGCTTTGTTGTTTATACTTTCAAACTGTCATGAAGAAAAATTGCTTCGATTTCTATTTTCAAAATAAATAAATACATAATATTCATTCACAGGCAAAGTCCCAGATGTCTGTTCAATTGCCAATGTCATATGGTTTATATACTGGAGGAGGCAGTTGTCTACAGTAAGGTATACGGGGATCTAGCAACACTGACGTATGTCTGGGTCCCAGCCTTTTGTCGATGTTACAATCACGGAGGTGTCAGACAACAAGAGGAGACTTTTGCTTCTCCCGACACCATTTCAAGAAACGAACTTTAGTGGATGTGTTGTTGTTGTTGTGATTTTTTTGTGGTGCTTTCTGGTATTTTTTATATATCTTTTTGTAGTGTTCGACCTTGCACGACAATATATTACTACATAGCCAACACATACTAACTTTAAAAATGCAGACACAATTGTTCCCACGCCATCAATCTAACTTTCCAATAAAACCCGAACAAGACACATAAACAATGCCCTACTCAGAGGCGTAGCGACGAGAGTGGTGGGGGGGGGGGGTACATATGTCCCCTGGCGCCGACCCTAAAGGCGCCAAAATGGGTTGAAAAAAAAGAGTAAAATCTCATTTAGCTGAATTTTTGAATTATAAATATAAAAAATATATGGGGGGGGGGCGCCAAATTAAAAGTGTGTCCCCGGGCGCCGGGAGGGGTCGCTACGCCTCTGGCTCTACTACATCGCGAACAGGTCTTGAGTTAGCTCTTGCAATAAGCTCCACGAGAATAGGAATTAGATTCTGGTCGACGATCCAACCCAGTCTTAAAATTTTTTCCTTAGGTAACCACTACTACACTAATTACATCCGTTCCATTTGCAGTGTCACCAACTCCCTATTAAGCTTGCTCGGACTTCTTAGGAGGGTGGAAGGATGGGGCATTTTGAACGTCCGATGTTTGTGTTTGTGTGTGGGGGGGGGGTATCTGAAAGGAACTCTGAAACATGATGAACTCTTCAGTGCATGTTTGAAGAACTGTATATTGCTGACGTGGCGAGTAGATCGCCTTGTATCCAAACACCGTGACTGAGATCAGGGGCGTAGCGAGGGGAGGCGGGGGGTGCGGACCGCACCGGGTGACACCATTTAGGGGGGTGACACCAAGGCAAAAATAGGAAAAACTTGAGGGGGGGGGGTGCAAATCTAAAGTTTGAGGGGGGGGGGTGCAAATCGAAAGTTTAAGGGGGGGGGTGCAAATCGAAAACTTGAAAGTTTGTCCCCGGGAAGGGTTGCTACGCCTCTGGGGGGGGGGGGGGGTGACACCATTAAGTGCCGCACCGGGTGACACCCGACCTCGCTACGCCACTGACTGAGATTATGGCATAATATGCACTGCGCAGATGTGGAAAAGAGTGGGAGTATCCCCTTATGAATTGATAGGCGAAGGTTTTGTAAATAATCTACATGTGCCCTGCGAGACGAGTTTACAACCATAACAAAACAAACACATTTTATGTTTTATTAATTAGAAGCTTATAAACGTTTGTTTATATTGTAGCTTATTTATGTTGCTTAGTGATTTTTTTCAGAATATATTTTATACTTTTATAACAAATGTGAATTGAGCTCCATTTTTAGTTTCTCGTATACGAAGTATAGAGGAAGTATTGTAATCGTGCAAAAAAAAAAATCGAGTTTTTTTTTTTTTTTTTTTTTTTTTTTTTTTTGCAAATCTCGACGTTTTACACCTCCCTGAGTCGGAAAAACATAGTTTAGCAATTTTGTCGGTATGTCTGTGTGTGTCTATGTGTGTCTATAAACACGATAACTTAAGTACCGTTACAGCTAGATTGATGAAATTTCATAAATAAGTATTATATCAAAAGTCTATAACTTGAGTACTTTTTCAAATAGATAAATGAATTTTAACAAATAAAAGTAAAAGATCTAATTCTCTGCCTTCTGTCAAATTTTGAGTAATTTCCGTTGACAGGAAGTAGTAATTTAAGCTATTTCCGATTTCTCAAAAAACGCATGTGAATTTATAAACTACTAAAAATATTCATCACTATTATACACAATTTGCTTGGCGCTATACAAATAAAAAAGTAAAAAAAAAATACAAGTTTTGTTATTATTTCACACATAATTCAATATAGTGGCTGGAATATATTTTGAGCTTCCAAATGTTATTGAATTGAGTTTCTGTACAACTAAGTGCTGAGTAGGCCGCGGATGTATGTCGGCTGTATGACTGCTGTATGACTGCTGTATGTCGGCTGTATGATCAGTAAGACTATGCCAGCTATGTACCCTATGCATGTATCTTTTCACGGTACTCACATTATAGAATCTCAAGAAGTAAACACGTCAAGTGTGTAAATGTTTGATTTACTGTTTGTTTTTAGATGGGAAGGCGTGGTCGAGCAGTAGAACCCACAGTAACTATCATGAAAGTCCCGAGTTCTGTACACCGGATCGAGTCAGTAAAACGTCCCTGGGCTCACGTGTTGCTAAAAATAGAAGCAGCGGAGCTTACCTACAATATCTATTTATAAACCAGATCAAAGAAATAGATAAATACTTCTTCATATAGTACTAATGGTACTGGTTAAGTGAAGAAATTAAAATATTACTGGTAAAGAAGTCGTAGTTGTGATCATAGTGACGTATTAACTATTTCCGAACTATACACTGGTTATCTATAACACAACACACAATAAACATTAAAATATTTTAATGATCAATTTCATTAAATAATACCAACGTGACATTGCGTAACATTTGAGGCCATCGAAATTAAATAAATATTTTAAAAATAAAATATTTTCATTTTTCAGTTAAAATATAATACTAAATCGTAGTGTCTTTACGTCATTACGCTCAAACTGAACCATATTCTTTTATACATAATTGTTTTACATACATAACACGTTCATAAAATACAACCCACACTTTATATGTATATCACTTAATGAAATATCACATTCATAAAACCAACATTTTATCGCACTTTCTCAAATATCATATACATAAAAATCAACAATAAATCGCTGAATTATTTGCGATTTCTAACAGCCATGCCTATCCAACCAACTTATTTTAAAACTTATTTTTAAGCTATTCCCCAGACACACACAGCCGGCTGTTCTACAGCTCATCGTTAGATAATTCTCCAACCACAAATAGCAAGCTGTACTACAGCTCATCTTTAGACTATTCCCCAGACACAAACAGCAAGCTGTTCTACAGCTATCTTTAAATAATTACACAAACAGCCAGCTGTTCTACAGCTCATCTTTAGACAATTCCCTACACAAACAGCCTGCTGTTCTATAACTCATCTTTAGACAATTCCCCAGACACAAACAGCCGGCTGTTCTACAGCTCATCTTTAGACAATTCCCCAACCACAAACAGCCGGCTGTTCTACAGCTCATCTTTAGACAATTCCCCAGACACAAACAACCGGCTGTTCTACAACTCATCTTTAGACAATTCCCCAGAGACAAACAACCGGCTGTTCTACAACTCATCTTTAGACAATTCCCCAGACACAAACAACCGGCTGTTCTACAACTCATCTTTAGACAATTCCCCAGACACAAACAGCCGGCTGTTCTCAAACGCTGTCCTGGGCCCCCTCCCTCTTGTAGTCGATGTGGCGGCCGGTGCGTTGTTGTAGCACCTGCAGAAACTGGGCACCTGGATGTGGGTCACCTTCATGCCGTCCAGCCCAGGGTTGGTGCAGTTGGCCTTGGTGCAGACGACAGCGCTGAAGACCTGCATGGCGAGACGACATTGGCAGCCGCAAGAGTTGCAGTTTTCTGCTTGTCTGAGGATGGAAAGTTTGGGGGAAGTCTAGAGGACTGGTGGTTTTTTAAAAGTCTAGAGGCTTGGTGGGTTGTTTTAAAGGAAAGTCTATAGGACTTGTTAGCTTTCTTTCTAGAAAAGTCTAGTGGCTTGATGCGTTGTTTTAAAGGAAAGTTTATAGGCTTGGTGGGTTGTTTTAAAGGAAAGTCTAGAGGCTTGGTGGGTTGTTTTAAAGGAAAGTCTAGAGGCTTGGTGGGTTGTTTTAAAGGAAAGTCTAGAGGCTTGGTGGGTTGTTTTAAAGGAAAGTCTAGAGGCTTGGTGGGTTGTTTTGAAGGAAAGTCTAGAGGCTTGGTGGGTTGTTTTAAAGGAAAGTCTAGAGGCTTGGTGGGTTGTTTTAAAGGAAAGTCTAGAGGCTTGGTGGGTTGTTTTAAAGGAAAGTCTAGAGGCTTGGTGGGTTGTTTTAAAGGAAAGTCTAGAGGCTTGGTGGGTTGTTTTAAAGGAAAGTCTAGAGGCTTGGTGGGTTGTTTTAAAGGAAAGTCTAGAGGCTTGGTGGGTTGTTTTAAAGGAAAGTCTAGAGGTTTGGTAGGTTGTTTTAAATGAAAGTCTAGAGGACTGGTGGTTTTTTAAAAAAAGAAAGTCTAGAGGCTTGAGGGGTTTGTTTTAAAGGTAAGTCTAGATGACTTGTTAGCTTGCTTTATAGAAAAGCCTAGGGGCTTGACATTGGTGGGTTGGTTTAAAGGAAAGTGAAGAGGTTTGGAGTTGGTAGGTTTGTTTTAAAGGAAAGTCTAGAAGCTTGGTGTTTTTTTAAAAAGGAAAGTCTAGAGGCTTAGAGTTGGTGGGTTTGTTTTAAAGGAAAGCCTAGAGCAGAGGTTCTTTACCTAGGTTCGATCGAACCCCAGGGATTTGATGAGTTAGTCCCAGAGGTTCGTCGGAGTTCAAGACACACACCCGACTCATTTTAATTCACGATCGGATAGTTTCAATGCGGATCATAGAACTATTAGGAAGGGTTTGGTGAATACGCATACTAAGCATGTTCGGTTCGGTACCCAAAAAAGTGTGAGAAGCACTGGTCTAGAGACTTTATGTGCTCAAAGTGTTCCTTTCAGACCAAAAAATAAGAGATTCTCGTGGTCGGGTCGGTAAAGCCCATGGTTGCTAATGATAAAAAAAGAACCTTTTCCCCCCCACATATCATTTTGGTTTAAAGTTCTGCTGTAACTTTTGAAGTTTTTTTTATCATTTATGTTTTTCTGATTTTACAAAGCGTTCCATAGGATTAGGACGGATAAAGTTGAGTTTTTTTTATCAAGGCGTATGAATAGAAGGTGTGGTATTCCATCCTTTTTTAATTTCCCTAAAGTGTGTTGGGTACCTATTAGAGCTGAGTTGACTCAGAGACACCCGGCACACACTCGAGTACAAAAGACCAAACTCGTGATTTTCAGGTTGACAGTCGAGCACTCTACCACTCCACCGCCCAGTCCCTTTTTGTTGGCTTGCTTTACAGAAAAGTCCAAAGAGTTTGTGGGGGTTTAACTAAAAACGGTACGCGGTGGATTCGAACCCGGGTCACTTACTTGCATGTCTCTTTAAGGAAGACTTGCTTGCGTGAGTTCAACTGCACCAGCGTTACGTCCTTGCCGAACAGATCTTTCGCTGTGGTGTACTGCTCGTATTCTGTCGTTCTGTATAACATACACATAAACAAAACATGTCATTAAATCAGTTTGGAGCTATGCCTAAATAATAGAGAAATACAAAAACTATTATAGAACTTTACATAGAATAGGAGATGATCTAATTTTTATATCTTCACAATTCCATAGGATTTTCATGCAGCACGATGGCCGAGTGGTTAAGGCGTTGGACTTAAGATCCAATGGAATTATTTCCGCGTGGGTTCGAACCCCACTCGTGCTAAAATTATATTTGAAAAAAAAACTGTAACCTAAATACCGTAATCAGAAAATGGGAGTTAACTCCGTAATTCTTTTTAAAATTACACGAATTACCTCCCGTTCATTGAGATCATTAAAACAAAAATTCGAAAGAAATGTGTACTCACGATTCACAACAGCCGTGGTAGTCAACGTGTATAATAGGTTGTATAGTGGCAGCCTAGGTGAGAGAGAATCAAAGTAATTTTTTACAGGTGTTATAGTGGCAGCCTGGGTGGGAGGAACAAAGTAAAAATGTGATGGATATAGACAATTTATTAGTGCTAACAAAGTAAAAGGTGGGGGTCAGCGTGGTCGAGTCGGTAAAGCTCTTGGTTGCTGAACCAAAAAGTCTCCAGTTTGAACCCTAGGGCAGATGAGGAACGAATCATCTGCCTCATTGTCTGCTCCTGGTTGGATAAAGCAAAGCCAAAAAGAAAAGCAGGCTGAAATCGGAGTCAATGGCCAACAGTGTTTCTTCCAGACTTTTTTTTCCGGGGGTGGGGGCACTTGAAATTTTCGGGTGGGGGGGGGGGGCGGTACACTTTCTTCAGGGGGGGGGGGCGGACACTGTTAAAAGTATAAATTCTCTTTATGAATTATAAAAATTTCATTTCGTTCGGGGGCGGGGGGGGGGGGGGGGGGGAAGAGATGCCTGGGAGAAACTCTGATGGCCAACATGGCGAATCACAGGTTGACACAGAATCCTTAAGGGTATGGAGGTCATCTCCCCCTGCACTAGAACGAAGAACGAAAAGGGAAGCTTGAAGGCTTCATGCTTTATCTATTCTCACATAGTAAACACAGGAAACTGCATCTCAATAACCATTTCATAGCAGAGGCGTAGCGAGGGGGGGGGGGGGGGCGTGGGGTGCGGACCGCACCGGGTGACACCATTTAGGTGTTGACACCAAGGCAAACAAATTAGTAAAATATATAGAGAAAAACTTGAGAGGATAGGAGTACAAATCGGTGCAAGGGGGGTGCAAATCGAAAGTTTGAGGGGGGTGCAAATCGAAAACTTGAAAGTTTGTCCCTGGGAAGTGTCGCTATGCCTCTGGGGGGGGGGGGGTGACACCATTAAATGACGCACCGGGTGACACACGACCTCGCTACGCCACTGTTTCATAGTATCATAGTACGGCATTTTCAAGTTGCTGATTTTTTAAAATTTAACTAAATATTAGATTAGTAACTTAAATTATTTGAAACATTAGGAGGCCATCTTGCTATATAAAAAAAAATATAAATTTATTGTAACGGGCACGTGATCAGTTTGTTGAGCTGAGTTCAAGAGGAATATTCACGACTTTTTAGACGTAAGGTCGGGTAATCGTTAAGTAGATTGATTGTTAAAAGTGAATATTGGCGCTTTAAAGTAGATCACGAATAACACAATTTTTTTTTAGTCATGAAGTGTAACAATTCAAGCACCGTCGGCTTGGAAAGTATTAACTAATTGTTTTTAAAACGTATTTAGTTCAATCGTCTTATTCTCATATCGAAATAATAAAATGCAATAAAAAATTTTTAAAAATTAGGGTATGTAGGCCATTGTAGGCCTATATATTTTATTGTTTTGTTAGCTGCCTTAAGGTAATTAAATTTTTGTAAAGATTGTCAATTCTTAATTTGAAATAGAAGCACGATGGCCGAGTGGTTAAGGCGTTGGACTTAAGATCCAATGGAATTATTTCCGCGTGGGTTCGAACCCCACTCGTGCTAATTCTTTTTTAAACAGTTCTGGCTTTACCAACAAAATCTGCCCGTTGATTAAACTATTTTTATTTACATGGATTCCCTCTGAGCAGTTACTGAGACCATGAAATATTTGATAGAACCCTATATTTACCTATATATAGATAAGATCCCAAATTTACCTCTGCTGATAAGACCCTATATTTACCTCTATAGGTAAGACCCTAAATTTACCTGTATTTAGAAACGAACCTATATTTATTTATAAGCTACGGAAAAGACCCTATTTTATCTATATATAGAAAAGACCCCACATTTACCTCTAAAGTAAAGACCGTATATTTAACTCGACAGAAAAGACCGTATATTTACCTCTATAAATAAGACCCTATATTTAGATGTAAGCCATGGAAAAGACCCTATATTTACCTCTACAGAAAAGACCCTATATTTACCGATACCTATATAGAAAAGACCCTATATTTACCTATATATAGAACAGACCCTATATTTACCTCTATAAAAAAGGGTTCCCAGAAAGACCCTATATTTACCTCTATAAAAAGACCCTATATTTACCGATACCTATATAGAAAAGACCCTATATTTACCTATATTTAGAACAGACCCTATATTTACCTCTACAGAAAAGACCATATATTTACCTTTATAAAAAAGACCCTATATTTACCTCTACAAAAAAGACCCTATATTTACCTCTACAAAAAAGACCCTATATTTACCTCTATAAAAAGACCCTATATTTACCTATATAGAAAAGACCCTATATTTACCTCTATAAAAAGACCTATATTTACCTGTATAAAAAGACTCTATATTTACCTCTATAAAAAGACCTTATATTTACCTCTACAGAAAAGACCCTATATTTACCTCTATAAAAGACCCTATATTTACCTCTATAAAAAGACCCTATATTTACCTCTATAAAAGACCCTATATTTACCTCTACAGAAAATACCCTATATTTACCTCTATAAAAGACCCTATATTTACCTCTATAAAAGACCCTATATTTACCTCTACAAAAAAGACCCTATATTTACCTCTACAGAAAAGACCATATATTTACCTTTATAAAAAAGACCCTATATTTACCTCTACAAAAAAGACCCTATATTTACCTCTACAAAAAAGACCCTATATTTACCTCTATAAAAAGACTCTATATTTACCTATATAGAAAAGACCCTATATTTACCTCTATAAAAAGACCTATATTTACCTGTATAAAAAGACTCTATATTTACCTCTATAAAAAGACCCTATATTTACCTCTACAGAAAAGACCCTATATTTACCTCTATAAAAGACCCTATATTTACCTCTATAAAAAAGACCCTATATTTACCTCTATAAAAGACCCTATATTTACCTCTATAAAAAAGACCCTATATTTACCTCTATAAAAAATACCCTATATTTACCTCTACAAAAAAGACCCTATATTTACCTCTATAAAAAAGACCCTATATTTACCTCTATAAAAAGACCTTATATTTACCTCTACAAAAAAGACCCTATATTTACCTCTATAAAAAGACCCTATATTTACCTCTATAAAAAAGACCCTATATTTACCTCTAATTTTCTGTTTTCTTCTTCTACATCTTCCCTGAAATAGCCGGGGAAGGCTGCTAGTATTTGACGCTCTCGGCTAGAGATGTGTGTCCTGTGGAGAAGACAATCAACAGAGATAGCACCTTGTTCACTGTGTGTCGGATATTAGTCTTTCATAATAAATCCTTGAATGGTAATGAAAACGTTATCCGAGTGCATTGAACCCTATCGTCTTGTTTTAATTTCAGGTGACCGGTTCTTTATGAGCGACTGTGCTAATACGATGTCATTCTAATTTAGCTGATTTTAACCCCTACCCCCTATCTAGAGGCGTAGAGATACATTCGGGCGCCCGGGGTTGAACTACCAATATTGCACCCCTCCAATCCGAGTTTGGAAATGTCTCTTAACAGTTTGCTTTACTTTTTAATAAAACTTACCCCCCCCCCTTCCCCCACCCCCTCCCCCTCCCCACACACAGAATAAAAATAAATTAAGTAAAATGTAACCGTTTTATTATTTTCTTTTTTATTCTCTAAAAGTTAAGAAAGTAAAGGTGACGCCACCTGAGGCAAAAAAAAAACTCACTATAAAATAAATATTATTTTCAATAGTAATTAACAGCACGATGGCCGAGTGGTTAAGGCGTTGGACTTAAGATCCAATGGAATTATTTCCGCGTGGGTTCGAACCCCACTCGTGCTAACCTGTATATTTTTTTTATCAAAACACATTTTAAAATTTCAATGTATGTAAATGTAGACCATACGTATAACACTAGTGTGATGCTGCTTATTGACATAATAGAATACATTTACGTGTATGTCGTAAAATTATCTAACAAAAGCATTAAATTTCAAGACAAGAAACACTTTATTATGGGTACGTCACATACAATGTCACGCGGAGATTGTTAGTATTTTACAATATATTTTACATGTAATTATTTGCGTAGATTTATAGTAGCGTCCTTCAAACTATAGTCTGTTTTAGTTATAGTGAGATTAAAAAGTAAATAAATAGGACTCACAATTCTGTAGCATAGGAAATATTGGGAGGGAAGTGATATAGATTAATGTAAGGACTTAGAAGTTAGGCAGGATATAAAAGTTGGAGTTAGGAAAGTTTGGGGGCCCATTCTTTCATAAACAGCCACAGGTTACTGCCTGTTCAACAAGAAATAAAAGAAGATTTAATCGCACACGGATGTTGTGTTTTAATTGATAAGCTTATTCAAGTATGGACCCGTCCACAAATTCACTTCGAAACAGAGATGACGGTGGTCACCTACAATTTCTCGGGGGCGCCTTGCCTTTTTAAAACACCGCAACTATACTGCTCACATACCTGTACCTCTAAACACATGTACACTCTACAGGTGTCACAATACTGCCCCTCCTCGTCACACACTTTTAATTTATTTACGTACACTCAATCACGTGATCATTTGGGAAACCGGAAAAAGGACCGGTCTTCGTCCTTGACCCAGTTAGCAGTATTAATAACACCAATAAAAAAATAATTTACTTACGTCCATTTGCCAACTCAGACAAGTTGAGTGTTTAATTATATGCTTTGTTTCATTATAATTTATAACAATAATATAATTTAATTGTTAAGAATAATTTGCTCTGGGAGTTCGTACAGTTCTTATTAAAAATGAAGATAAATCGATGTTTGAGTTTTTAATTTGCTGTGGGTATGGATGATAGTATCATGATTAGGATAAGGCTCATTAGGAGAGTCATAATTAAGATAAGGTTTAGGGTCAAAGGTCGGCGTTGGACTCGGATACCGATGTTATTTTCTAGACCGCCTTTGTAACAAGTGGGTCTACCGATCAACGAACCCTGATGGTGTCTTCTGTCTTACGTCTCAGTTTGATATGTTTACGGGGTGGTCGAGTCGGTAAAGCTCATGGCTGCTAAACTGAAAAGTCTCGAGTTCGAACCCTCGGGCAGATGAGGCTTATTAGCTGGAAACAGCCACTTCTTCTAGGAGAGACAACTCCAAAATCAAACAACTGTTGCCTTGTAGTTTGTTCTTGGTTGGACAAAGGCTGTGGAAGCAAATCCAAAAAGAAAAGCAGGCTGAAATCGGAGTCAATGGCCTCAATGGCGCATAACCAGTTGACACGTATCCTTAATTGTGATGGAGGCGTGGTCGAGTCGGCAAAAGCTCATGGTTGATAAATTCGAAAAAAAAGTCTCGAGTTCAAACCCTCTGGCAGATTAGGCTCGATCCCTTCCAACACTACAAAATTAAGAGCGAAGAAGAAGAAGAAGATGAAGATATCTTTACGGCTTATGGTAACTGACTTGTCCACATGACGCACGCACGGACTCATGTGGAGCGAGAGGTCAGTAGTATAGTAGGTCCCCTTTGGGTCGTAAAAGGAGGAGGAGGTGGAGACAGGCTATATAGTAAAATACCGCGGAGCTGCGGAGACATGTTTATATAGTAAAATACTGCGGAGACATGTTATATAGTAAAATACTCCAGCTGGAGCAGGTGTTCCCCTCCTCCTATTGTCTTCCGTGACGCTCCTTTACGACCGCGACGACAAACAATAGAGTATCGATTTTTTTTTTTTTGAAAGTTATGTTTAAATAGTCATTAAAAATAATTTATTCAGCTAGGCTTGCTTTACAATAGGCCATATTTCTCATTCAATTGATCTATAAATAGCCGTTACTATTTACTATCAGTCTGTTTTTGTCCTCTGTTTTTTGTCTAGTCGTGTTAATTATGTTAAGTGTGATTGCTTTATTTGTTGTGGCTGTTTGCTTTGTTGGTTTTTAATATTTACATATGTTGTAATCACAATGTTTTCCTCGTTTTCATTGTTTTTTTTTATTTATTTTTTTAACCACCTTTTAACTTTAAGGTTCTATAACCATCTTTTGACGACCACTTATATATATGTTTAAATACATTTTGTTTATATTTTTATAATTTTCTAAAAAATATTAATATAGAAGATAAACAAATAATTTTTTTTTTCTTTCTGTGATCTCGGCATATGAAGTGATAGTGTGTTCATCACTATGTCCAACCGCCTTACTTTCCCTAACGTAAGTTAGGTACCCATCAGAGTTGGGTAGACTCGGGGACAGTCTACTGTCTTTGAACCTGGATTCGAACTCGGGATTTTTGGGTTAGCAGTCGTAAGTTCTACCACGCTGTCCCCTTCATTCATAACTATATAAGTTCCTATTGATTTGGTCAGAATAATTGTCAGGGGCACAGTTATCTCTTTACTAAATAAAACTAATATAGAAACGAAGGGAGAGTCGAATTTTTCTAGAACAGTCTTGTTAACAACCACGAGTAGCGTCCCGTAAATTTAGGATCCCAATGGTTTAACATAGAAATGACACTAAATACCCTTGGTGATGTCTTTATAAACAAAAAGTCGGTTAAGTTTCAAATCTCAAGTTTTGTAAACGTCTTTGTTTAAGTATTTACATTGTTTTATGTAGGTTCAGAAGTATTTCATAGCGACAATGGAACAGTGTCCGTGCGCGTTTGTTTACATTTAAAAATACATGTCGCGTGCTTTGCGCGCGTCTAACGACGTTTTAAGTTTTCCTAGTGTTTTTAAAACAGCGATTTCTTTCTAAAATAGTGACCAGGGTCAGACATCAAAGAGTATATTAATCAATTATCATTAACAATTTAAAAAGTAATTTAGGATGTCAATGGTTTAACATAGAAATTACACTAAATACCCTTGGTTATGTCTTTGATTTTGTAAACAAAAAGTCGATTATGTTTCAAATCTCAAGTTTTGTAAACTTCTTTGTTTAAGTGTTTACATTGTTTTAAGTAGGTTCAGAACTAGGTTTATTTTATTAACATAAAAGTTTTGTCTTAATTAAAAATAATTGTCAGACTAAATAGCTAATTAAAATGATCAATAGCAGTTTGGTTTAATAAGTAATATATGTGTTACACCAGCGTTAATCTTAGAAAAATATTTTGATTGTTATGATTATAGTTTTTTTTTTCCAATTGTCTTATTAATACTCGGCCCTATGATTTGTGAGATAATGACCAGCATGGTATATATTATATTTATATACACTGTTATTAGTTTTTTAAAGTCATCACTACCCCACTGAAACCTCTTAAAATAAGACCATTTTCCTATGATCAAAATTTTAGCTCAAATCAGTAAGAAATAAATCGGGTCTAGCATATTTAATCCAACTGATGTCGTTTAGAAGAAAAGCTGTACTTACAATTAAATTTACTGAAAGGTTTGCTTAAAAGCTTTTATCAAAATGGTTGTGCACTTATACTTGTAATAAGTTATAATTTTTTACTTTTCATAGATATGTATTGAATTACTCCATTTTGATTATGACTTGTTGTCCTGGCGTTGACATTTTACACCTTTTTTTTTTTTTTTTTTTTTTTTTTTTTTTTTTTTTTTTTTGAGACTCACATATACACATACATATACATACACACACACACACAAATGAAACTAAAATCAAATCACAACAAGTCTTGTTTAATTTTATTAATTTTATTTTCCCTAAGCCGATAAAATACTATGGTATAATATTTACAAGCTTGCAAAACATACACGCGTCATTCACTCTATGTATTTTTTAAGTGCAACGAAGGCACGAGACCGCCTTTTATTGTGTGCCGTGAGCACAATACCCATTGTATGGGTATCTGAGCATAGGGCAATAGCTATACCCCAACGCACATGGGCGGTTAGATAATAAGCGAGGTAGCTTTTCCGCGGAGCAAGCTGTGAAACAGGTGAAATAAAGAAAGTCGCTTTTTTTTTTTTTTTGTATTTTATGTCTCAATCAGGGTGGCGCGATATTTTTTTTTTTCTCTTTGTATCCGTGTTGTAAAAAAAATGAGGAGGAGAAAGGGTAGTGACCTACCCTTCCACCCGTGTGTTCCATGATGGCAAACACAATTTTAAATGTGTATTTGTTACGTTTTAGTAGCGATACATCTTCTACTTGTTTCTTCCTTGTGACATCATTAGCAGGGGAGACGATTCGTTTCAGCGGAGCGAGTCGTGCGTCATTTAAAGACATCAAATAGGGTAATGTTACACAAGACAAGCTTTTAGTACTCTGTTGAAATTAATTAAAGGGAGAAAACCCTAAAAAATATTTACTAACGTCCCTCTGGTGTAATCTTTACAAGCTAACAAAACATACGCCGTCATTCACTCTACGCATTTTTTTAAAGTGCTACGAAAGCACGCGGCTACCTTCCATTGTGTACCGTGACCACAAAACCCATTGTATGGGTATCCGCGCATAGGACAAAGAATCAAACAGACTGTGTCGGAAAAATACTTCCACACAACACCCTTCTCTCGAAGAAGACAATTTATTTTTAACTTCACGTTGAGTAATTTTTTTTTTTTTTTTTTTTTTTTTTTTAAAAGTGTTTTTGGTACGTTTTAGTAGCGAGATATCGTCTACTCGTTTCTTGCTTGCGATGTCATTAGCAGGGGAGATGATTCGTCTTTTACAGTGAGCTAGACCATCTCTTTTCCAAGTGCAACGTACGCGAAATAAAGACACTAGCTTTTGTATTTTATATCGCAAGCAGGTGACGGGATATTTATACATCTGCTTGAGCGTTATCGGCGAAACTTGTTTTAAACATTATTAATACGCTAAAATTTTAAAATATTATTGTTTCATACACCGATCTCAAGATAGAGTTTTTAATCAGATCTATTATTAACAAATATTGTCATTTTAACACACTGCGTAACCATCAAGTTGAATCAACCACACCTGATGTTACCACTCGTAAAGTCAAGTCTTCAAGACAAAACACTGATACTAAACAAGACATTAAACTAAATTACATGCCACTATGTGATACAACTAATATTATCTTTGCAATGTTAAAAGAGGGGGTATAACTTGTATTGAGTATAGATGTATAGTGTTTAATATTTAATGCATAGAACACAGGACAAAAAAACAGATTTACATCCCCGCAACATCCGACACAAGGGTGGTGATGGGTACGGGGAGGACGGAAGAGAAGAAAAAAAAACACCATAAAATGTTTAATGCTACAAATGTTTGGGTTTATTCAACGGTTTAAGAGTAGAAATGTTATATAATTTTATGCATGTCTTCATTGTAACAGTCACCATAACAAATGATTACAATTTTTTATTTTTTGTGCAAGAAAGGCTCCCAGTGTGATTGCACCAAGTCCTGCCACAGACCATTTAATTAATGTTTTAAAAGATGGCCTATGTCTCTGACTTTCAGTGCGGCGTGAATAAAACTCAAACAGACCTTGCTGTAGAAGATAAAAATAAGAGAGACTCAATTTCTTAATTTCTCTATCTTGAAGATGGGTAATCAGTATACTTTAAAGTCACGGGGAGAGGGGTGATAAAAGATGATAGAGATAAAATATAGCTGTAGCATACATAACAATTATCCTAAACGCAATATGCATTCTAATGAAAACACAGCACATAAATTTGAATTAATCAATATTCTGTTGTTCAAATGTATCAGTTAAAACAAGTCAATATACTGATTTAGATTCTTCTTAACAGGTGATATAAATTTGATATTATGATGTATGCAAATAGAAACTATTCTTACCCATTTATCATTAGACGTCAACCATTCTTGTAAGTTAGTGTCGATATATGAGGTAGCCCATTCAACAACATTATCCGCCAAATGGCTTTTATTATGTACGAAACAATATACCACAAAGCATCCAGCGAAGCCTAAAAGCGCCACAATCCTGCCCCAGTTAACACCATCAGAGAAGGTTTCATCAACTATTATTTTAAAAGTATCATAAGCGTTGTTATCAGTAATATTAAGCTGTTCAATCAAATCATTGAATCTATTTCTAAATCGTTCCTCAAATTCATCACCAAGACTACGCATTGCCGCTTGGACAACATTGGGAGTAACACTACTTTGTCGCCCATCATTTTCCCACTGAAAACCTTCCTTCGCTACTCGATGTTTGATATAATCCACTACTATTGAACGAGTATTATAAGATTCCATGTTTTCAGACAATTCACTCGAACTTAACACATCTGTTTTAAAAAACCATCTCAAACTTTAAATGAGATTCATTTATATTACACAAAAACAAAAATACCTAATTCAGCAAACAAAAAAGTGAAGACCTTTTGTTATTCGTAGCAACTAAATCGCCAACCAATCTTACGGCCACCTGCATAATCGATCAAATTATAGAAAGAACGTGGTTTGCATCGCAAATTTAAAAACATGGCGATGTTTACCTATGCTTACAGACCTCAACCAAAAAAGGCAAGGAAACTAGAAGGAAGAGGAATATATATCTTAGTCTTGCAGCAGATTACCTGCCCATGTTCGCTTTAGTATTACAGTTTTCATTTAATTTCTTTTTGACTTGAACTTCTTTAATTTAAGAAGGTTTACTTATACATAATACATTACGTCTAATTACAATTTTTTATTTTTACCACTCAATGTTTTTTGTTTTTTCTATATCTTGCATTGTCATCTTAATTTTTGATCACCTTAGTAAAAATTTGCTTAAGATTATAAACTGCAAGTTTTAAAAAACATCAACGTTATAGTACGTCGTGTCAAATGACACACCGTTTAAAATATCTACATTTAAAGTTCACCAACATAATGACGTAAAAACTAAAATATGATATGACGTTAGCATACATATCATTCAAGCTAATCACTCTAAAGTACAAATCAATAATTTTTATTGATTGAGGGGTTGGGTGAGTTATTTTTATTACTATTCACCCTTCCCTTCCCTTTGTCCGCAACCCCTTTCCCCTTCTCCCATTCCTAACCTCAATACCAACCGTTAGATACACAGACCGTAACACTACCCATTCTATTCCATTTAAGAGACAAAGGATGTATGACAATCTTACAGACAAATATTTATTTAACTAATATCACAACTCCTAGACACTACTCCAACAGACTGGGCTATTTAACTTATAGACACCACTCCTCGTTGAATATCTCTTGCAGCCTAGCCACCTATGTCCGCCGCCCTCGCCCCATCCCTAAACACCTGCTAGATAAACAGACCGTACCTCTACCCACACTATTACTTGGACAGACAAAGGACAAAGTAACAGACAAACTTGTATCTGTATTCAACTAATGTTACAAGTGACATCGTTCCCATCCAACTCCGAAACATTCGTGGCCCAATTTCGAAACCAGCCTCGTTGAAAACTCCCCTGACCCTAGTTTAACTTTGCTTCACCGATTCCAAAACAGTCCTGTACCAAACATCCATGTACCAACTTTGAAACCTGTCTTGTTGAAAACAAAGACCGTCCCACTCTAGTGTAAACTCTAACACAACCAATTCCGAAACATCGATGGTCTGAGTTTGAAACCTGTCTAGGTGAAAACAAAATCCATCCCACGGTAGTATAAGCTCTTCCCCGATCACTTCCAAAACATCCATGTACCAAGTTTGAAACACGCCTCTGTGAAACCCAAACTCCCCCGACGCTAGTTTAAACTCTACCCCCATCAATTCCAAATCATACCTGTAACAACTTTGAAACCTACCTAGGTGTTAACAAAACACCTCCGACCTTTGTATAAACTCTGCCCCTCATCTATTCCAAATCATACCTGTAACAACTTTGAAACCTACCTAGGTGTTAACAAAACACCTCCGACCTTTGTATAAACTCTGCCCCTCATCTAATCCTAAACATACATGTAACAACTTTGAAACCTACCTCGGTGAAAACTTCACCGACCCTAGTATGAACTCGACTGACAACAATTCCTAAACATGCATGTCCCAACTTTGAAACCGGCCTCGGTGAAAACTTCACCGACCCTAGTACGGACTCTACACCTACCGATTCCAAAACATGAATTTTCCGAGTTCAAAACCAACCTTCACCGACACTACTATGAACTCGGCTACCAACAATTCCTAAACATGCATGTACCAACTTTGCAACCTGCCTCGGTGTTAACAAAACTCCCCCGACCCTAGTATGAACTCGACTGACAACAATTCCTAAACATGCATGTCCCAACTTTGTAACCTGCCTCGGTGAAAACTTCGCCGACCCTAGTATGGACTCTACACCTACCGATTTAAAAACATGCATGTTTCGAGTTCAAAACCAACCTTAACCGACACTAGTATGAACTCGGTTACCATCAATTCCTAAACATGCATGTACCAACTTCGAAACCACCCTCGGTGTAACCAAAACACCTCCGTCCCTAGTATAAACTCTACCTCATCCAATTCCAAAACCTGGATGTCCCAACATTGAAACACGCTTCAGTGAAATACAAACTCCCACGACTCTCGTATAAACTCTCTACCTATCAATTCTAAAACATGGATGTACCAACTTTGCAACCTGCCTAGGTGAAAACTCCCCCGACCCTACTATAGACTCGAACCCTAACAATTCCAAAACATGCATGGTCTAGCTTCGAACCCTGCCTCGGTGAAAACGGCACCGACTCGTGAATAAAATCTGGCCCAACCAACCCCAAACCTTCCCTGGGCACCCGAATAAAAATAACTCACCCAACCCCTCAATCAATAAAAATTATTGATTTGTACTTTAGAGTGATTAGCTTGAATGATATGTATGCTAACGTCATATCATATTTTAGTTTTTACGTCATTATGTTGGTGAACTTTAAATGTAGATATTTTAAACGGTGTGTCATTTGACACGACGTACTATAACGTTGATGTTTTTTAAAACTTGCAGTTTATAATCTTAAGCAAATTTTTACTAAGGTGATCAAAAATTAAGATGACAATGCAAGATATAGAAAAAACAAAAAACATTGAGTGGTAAAAATAAAAAATTGTAATTAGACGTAATGTATTATGTATAAGTAAACCTTCTTAAATTAAAGAAGTTCAAGTCAAAAAGAAATTAAATGAAAACTGTAATACTAAAGCGAACATGGGCAGGTAATCTGCTGCAAGACTAAGATATATATTCCTCTTCCTTCTAGTTTCCTTGCCTTTTTTGGTTGAGGTCTGTAAGCATAGGTAAACATCGCCATGTTTTTAAATTTGCGATGCAAACCACGTTCTTTCTATAATTTGATCGATTATGCAGGTGGCCGTAAGATTGGTTGGCGATTTAGTTGCTACGAATAACAAAAGGTCTTCACTTTTTTGTTTGCTGAATTAGGTATTTTTGTTTTTGTGTAATATAAATGAATCTCATTTAAAGTTTGAGATGGTTTTTTAAAACAGATGTGTTAAGTTCGAGTGAATTGTCTGAAAACATGGAATCTTATAATACTCGTTCAATAGTAGTGGATTATATCAAACATCGAGTAGCGAAGGAAGGTTTTCAGTGGGAAAATGATGGGCGACAAAGTAGTGTTACTCCCAATGTTGTCCAAGCGGCAATGCGTAGTCTTGGTGATGAATTTGAGGAACGATTTAGAAATAGATTCAATGATTTGATTGAACAGCTTAATATTACTGATAACAACGCTTATGATACTTTTAAAATAATAGTTGATGAAACCTTCTCTGATGGTGTTAACTGGGGCAGGATTGTGGCGCTTTTAGGCTTCGCTGGATGCTTTGTGGTATATTGTTTCGTACATAATAAAAGCCATTTGGCGGATAATGTTGTTGAATGGGCTACCTCATATATCGACACTAACTTACAAGAATGGTTGACGTCTAATGATAAATGGGTAAGAATAGTTTCTATTTGCATACATCATAATATCAAATTTATATCACCTGTTAAGAAGAATCTAAATCAGTATATTGACTTGTTTTAACTGATACATTTGAACAACAGAATATTGATTAATTCAAATTTATGTGCTGTGTTTTCATTAGAATGCATATTGCGTTTAGGATAATTGTTATGTATGCTACAGCTATATTTTATCTCTATCATCTTTTATCACCCCTCTCCCCGTGACTTTAAAGTATACTGATTACCCATCTTCAAGATAGAGAAATTAAGAAATTGAGTCTCTCTTATTTTTATCTTCTACAGCAAGGTCTGTTTGAGTTTTATTCACGCCGCACTGAAAGTCAGAGACATAGGCCATCTTTTAAAACATTAATTAAATGGTCTGTGGCAGGACTTGGTGCAATCACACTGGGAGCCTTTCTTGCACAAAAAATAAAAAATTGTAATCATTTGTTATGGTGACTGTTACAATGAAGACATGCATAAAATTATATAACATTTCTACTCTTAAACCGTTGAATAAACCCAAACATTTGTAGCATTAAACATTTTATGGTGTTTTTTTTTCTTCTCTTCCGTCCTCCCCGTACCCATCACCACCCTTGTGTCGGATGTTGCGGGGATGTAAATCTGTTTTTTTGTCCTGTGTTCTATGCATTAAATATTAAACACTATACATCTATACTCAATACAAGTTATACCCCCTCTTTTAACATTGCAAAGATAATATTAGTTGTATCACATAGTGGCATGTAATTTAGTTTAATGTCTTGTTTAGTATCAGTGTTTTGTCTTGAAGACTTGACTTTACGAGTGGTAACATCAGGTGTGGTTGATTCAACTTGATGGTTACGCAGTGTGTTAAAATGACAATATTTGTTAATAATAGATCTGATTAAAAACTCTATCTTGAGATCGGTGTATGAAACAATAATATTTTAAAATTTTAGCGTATTAATAATGTTTAAAACAAGTTTCGCCGATAACGCTCAAGCAGATGTATAAATATCCCGTCACCTGCTTGCGATATAAAATACAAAAGCTAGTGTCTTTATTTCGCGTACGTTGCACTTGGAAAAGAGATGGTCTAGCTCACTGTAAAAGACGAATCATCTCCCCTGCTAATGACATCGCAAGCAAGAAACGAGTAGACGATATCTCGCTACTAAAACGTACCAAAAACACTTTTAAAAAAAAAAAAAAAAAAAAAAAAATTACTCAACGTGAAGTTAAAAATAAATTGTCTTCTTCGAGAGAAGGGTGTTGTGTGGAAGTATTTTTCCGACACAGTCTGTTTGATTCTTTGTCCTATGCGCGGATACCCATACAATGGGTTTTGTGGTCACGGTACACAATGGAAGGTAGCCGCGTGCTTTCGTAGCACTTTAAAAAAATGCG